GACCGTTGAAGACATGGAGCGATCTAGACGCCCCTCAACGAGTGGTTTTAATCTTGGGCGATTAATCTTACACTCAAACGACGGTCGGAGTCCAAAAGAATTTTTACTTTGGCTACATTTTCGTCCAAACCACTCGTTGAAGGGCGTCCAGATCGCTCCATGTCTTCAACGGTCTCCCGTCCGTTCTTGAACTCACTGAACCACCGGAAAACCTGAGCCCTTGACAGGGCGTCGTCTTTGTAAGCCTCCTTAACCAAGGCAAGCGTCTCGGAACCGGTTTTGCCCAGGTGAAAGCAAAATTTAATCGCGTAGCGCTGCTCCAGCGAACGTTCCATTTTTTACGTTTTCTGCCGTGACAAAAATTCGAAAACAGCTTTTGCGTTACGCGTGATTCTCACTGCGTCAGAGCTCGGACGCGACTGCCGCCCGGTGCGTTGCTTAGCTTAGACCTCCCACCACAAATCCCGCCTCCAGGGGGCGCGCTGCTGGCGACTGGAGCGCCGCGCAGCGGCCAGTCTCATTACTTTACGGACAAACCCTGTAAGTCGGCGGCAGATTCTCGCGACATGGGAGGCAAATTGTATAAAGCCGCGATATGAATATCACTCAGTTGTTTCTTGTTTTCGAACCGCGTTTTGAGCGCCTTCCACGCGACGGGAAAATTCTTCGCAGTAATTGAAATACCGAAAATAACTTCGAGCGCCGGCCCGGTCAAGCTCGACGCGAGGAAATGCATTCGAGCAAAATCTGAGAGCTCTTTATTTTCCATTATCAGAGCGGTGAATCTATCGCGAAAGCTCTCCCAATCAGCGAAAGCTCCGCGGAATGGCGGTAACTTAATTGGTGGGAGGTGCCGCAATGACAAGGCGGATGAATCGAGTCGCACGAATGATTGGTCGGTCAGAGCAGATCGGTTCGGACTCACAGGGGGCTCCAACTCCTCCAACCACTCAGCCATGAAGTCTCGGGCTGTCTGGTAGAGCTCCTCATGGACTTCGATTTGGTCCACCTTGAAGTAGTCGATGCTGGATCTCTCCGGTATAGGGTAGAGGGTTTGTAGGACGGCGTGACCCTCTGCAGGCATGCACCCCAGGTCTCCTTCAGGGATGCGATCCTTGATCGCATTTTCGCCGGTGTATAATTATCATGCCCGGTTTTCTTGAAGTTTATCAGCGCTCGTGAGATTGAGCGCAAGCGCCCGAGTTGTTCTTCCAACTCAGTCATTTTGACTTGAGAATCACTGACTCTAAGATCGATGACCGCACTTTCGAAACGCGATTCAAGTCGACTCTTTTCGATAGAGACCAATGAAAAGTCAAGTTGGTTGTTCCTGAATTGCACCAAATTCACTGATTGTGATATGGGCGATGTTACTCTCACGTATCTCTGATAGTCCCCCACTTACTTCCGTCGCGTTTATGTTACTCGAAAATTTAAACGTTATTTTGAAACTCACTCGGCTTAAGCTACACCCGAGATTTTAATTTCAATGTTCCTCGAAAGTCCGTTCGAGTTACTGCTGTTATTGTCCACCATTGTCCTTCGATCCGGCTCGAAGGACCAAATTTTGTTTGCGCGTCGAAGGTTTGCTCGACGACCCCGTCGTATCGTTTCCGAGTCGCGGAATCGTTGACTTTGACTTAGGCTGATTGCCGGGACACGCGCCGAAGGCACGTCGAAGGGACGTGGTATCGACAATATAAACCAGTTTGGAGTCACTTTCAAGTTTTATTTTTACACAGCACGTCGTTCTTGTAATGGAATTTAAGCTAGAGATTCGCCCTCGCGACACAGCACGATTGCGATTCTCCCGTCTGAGCGAGTGAGAGCGCACGAATGTTCTCGCGAGATAGAGCGAGACGGCGCGATTGCGATTCGTCCGTCTGAGCGAGTGAGAGCGCACTAATGTTCTAGCGAGTTAGAGCGATACGGCGCGACGCGGCGAATTGGCGCGCGCACGCACGAGATGAATACTGGAGCTTTCCCGGGGCACTCGGCAATTTTGTCTCACCAAGATCCGACGACTTCCCAGGCTTCGAGGGCTCGTCCTCCGGAGCTCGCGATGCGGAAGAGTCTTTCCGCCTATCTCGGGCCTTCGCGCGGTCCTTGAGAGCGGCACGCAGCGCGACAGGGGTTCGGGAGGGCGGCGGCGAATTGCGCGAGGCAGTAGATTCGCGGAATGCTCCGGGATTAAACCGGCGATGTCCGCGTCCACGTTCCGAGTCGCGGCAAAGACACGGAACTAGGCTGGTTGAAGCGAGAGCGTTCAACCGATTGGGATTCACCCGCGATTGTTCCTAAGACCACTCACGAATTGAGAGTTGAAGAGCGAGACGTGCGTTATGATTGATGGCTTTGAACGTTCTGATCTTGGACTGCTTCGTTCGTTACGGCGGTTTCGAGAAGGTGAACGTACCCGCGAGCCAATCACTATACGCGACGCAGATCGCTTAAAGCTATCTTCGACCGAGGGTCGCGATATCTATTTACGCTTTTTCGGAGCGTTCGATCGAGCGCGATCGGAACGTTTGTCGGAGCGAATTCCAGGCGGAACCCCGATTGCCGCAACGGGATCGCGCTACGGCCCACAGTGGTCTAAAATCTCGAAAACCTGGCAAAAACCAATTTTTCAGTCAGCCTAATTGTCGGTAAAAATTATTGTAATTTCAAGAAAAATGCACAAAGAAGAATGTCTTGTAATTTAAATGCTTGTACGTTGCCTTGAACGCGTAATATAGGTGTATAAAAATAAAGAATTTTTAGTATGTTGATACAGTCGCTTTTTGCAGTTCTGTCACTTTATTCATGTTATTTTTTAAATTACTCAGAATGCTTTCATAAAATGTTTTAATACTATTTATTATTATTTGACATGGGTACATTAATTTTATTCGTAATATTAACAAAAAAACTTAATCTAGCAGATATATACGATATGGTTTTTAACCTCATGTGACGCTTAGTATGACTCGATACTCTAACTTTATTATTTGATATAAAACTTTAACCACCTTTAACCAAAAAAATGTTATAGTCAGATTAAACAGAATATCGTACTCTTGAAGTATGTGAAGAAAGAAATTGCTGCTTTTTACTGATATCGTTGCTATGATAAAAAATATCAGGCTGTATCTATGGTAATGTAAAAAGAAAATAAATCGGGTAAAACTTTACAAACACGGACCCAGCCCCAATGACCTTGACCTTGGCATATGTTGTCAAGGTCACCTTACTGAGTGACCTTCAGAAGGTTTTAGCCGTCGCTCGTTGTTCGTTAAAAAGTTATGAAGAAAAGAAGTTTCGCAAATGCTATGTAGTTCACGATATCATGTACGTTTAGGATGGCCTCACGTGGAAAGTTTCTGACACCATATACAATTCAAAGAATGTATAAGTGTCTTTGATATTATTAAGCATACGAATGAGAGTAAGCTACCCACAGTAACATCACAACAAATCCCTTACAGTCGAATTTCACTCGTCAAGCTTACGACTCGCGACTACTAACGTAAGATGTTACTTCACGAGTTTCTTCATCTCACGTATAAAAAAGATGAGCTCATTAGATATTTGAGCGAGAAAAAAGTAATTCGCCAAGACATTGAGTGTCCACAGTGCAAATATCTATTGACC